TATTCCAAACACTAGAGCACTAACTTGAGTTAACCTCTTTGTAAAGATTCAATTGAATTCTAAAATATCACTTTTCTAAACCACATTATCACTTTGTATCATAACACTGAATCAAATTGTTGTCTGATTTCAATGATTCAATACCTCTTACATGTATGGATTCTATCCTTGCAAACTAAATCAACTTCCCAATTAGATAAACGCCACTCAATTGTTTGAAAACAAGAACTGAGATGGATTGAGCAAACTGAGAGATCATTTCAATTTCATTAGAACGGATCCTTACACTCCCAATGAACAACATCCAGCCAACATCATATAAGAATTGAGTATGCACTGTAAGAAATAGCTCACAGTGCTTGGAACACTTTTTGAGATCCCTGTCTTTAGGTAGCTATACCACACTTATGAACTAACTGTAGGTATATGCGATAGTCATGATTGGCTCCTCTGCTACTGCTGCTAATGTCACAAATAAAATTTTATGGATGAGTTTTAAGTATTGAAATTTATTAGCCCATTACTACTTAGGAGTGAAATCCTAAGTCTTTTGACACTGGACATGTTAAAACCAGGAATGAGCATGGGAAGCCTATAGCTTTTAATTATCCCCAATCCCTAAAGTCCTGAAATTGCACTCTTGAAATCTAGCTATTTCCTTGTGTTTTTAAACACAATTCAGGAGTGCTAGGGGCGCATGACTCAAGAGCTGCTCCATGTCCATCTTTATCTAAGTCTAAAACTTTAAAAATGCATTTAGTGAACTCAGACTTGAATAATGAGAGCCACTGTACTTCAGTAGAGTTCATCAATCGTAAACATCTTGCAGGTTAGCATTCTCATCCATTTACTTTTTTCAAAGAAAAGGATGTAGAACAAATGCACACAAGCAGCATTTTCAGCTGAAAGAAAAAGCTATTCAGCCACTGCAGCAAATTACATTTCAAGAATTTGATCGTTCCGCTTCAGTGTTGCTTTTTGGGGAGCTGGATTTAGATTCTAATGTGTGTTTTAAACAGTGTTCTGGCTACTCCATGTGTACACTGTTAAAACAACTTGAGCTCAAAGAAAAGGAAGCTATATTTATAGATTATAAAACAATAAGAAATTAATAGAGAAAAGATAGCCTACTATCTTCCATGAAGATAAAATAACTTTTTCAAAGTGCGACAAATGATAAAAGCATTAGGAAAAACTGAGAGAGATGAATGGAAGAAAATCTAGCCTTTCAAATCATATTGAAATCTACTTGACTAATTTAGGTTTTATGGGAATGGAGATTTTAAAAAATAGAACGCTATAGTGTTTATTGTACTTTATATTCCTCCCCTTAGTACCATGAATAAATGATATATCACATATTTTTCCTTTTTCTAGTACATTATTTTCATTCAGGTGCAAAGAGAAGATAAAAATGCAGTCATATAAATGACACTATATCCTCTATTGTGAACTCTAATTAAAATAGAAACTTGAAAAAACACCTGTTATTTTCATATTCTTTATACAGATTTATTTTACTTACGTGTATTTTGGACTTTCAAATAACTGTTGGCTCCTGGTGATTGCCTAGAATAGTTTCTGCAATTTTCTTGGCAAGGTTTTTCAGAAGTGGTTTGCCACTGCTTTCTTCCTAAGATTGACAGAGGCTGACTAACCCATATCCACCTAGCTGGTTTCACGCATAAGGCAAGACTTAAACTCAACAGTCCCCTGGTTTCTAGCCTGGTGCCATAACTACTACACTGGACTGCATCTTAATTTACCTTTACACATATTTTGAGATAACCAAAATATATAGCTTAACAAAATTATAAATAAAGTTATAACCAGTTAGTTGGGGAATAAATTTCCTTATAATATCAAATATTTGAAAGTGCTGGGTTTGTAGATAATATTTTCACAGGATAAATTACTTGGGTGTGTCTAAGGGACTAGAGAACCTGTTAATTTCTGAAGTAGGTCTGATATTGATCTCTATAAATTATGCAGCACAATTACTGAAAGATCAAAGGGAATGTAATATTTGTGAGACCTTCTGGGGTTAAAAATGCTGGTGATAGGAAAATATAGTTTTGTAACAGAAAATACCTGTTTTTAGTTAGATTATTGGAGTATCACCTGAAATCTACACTGCCATGTAACTTTTTAAGACAAAACTAGTTAAGTCAAGTTCCCTGTTAATAGTAGAAACAAGCAGAGTGCACACTTGAGCTAGAATATTTTCTTCTTTGTTTTCACATTGCCCAATTAAATTAATGTAACTAAGAAAACTGAATACATATTTGGAATCTGGGTTCCTGTATAATATTATGTACTTAAAGTTTCTAACTTAATTTTGGATTCTATCTGTTTTTTTGGGGGGGGAGGGGGGTAGAATATAGATGAAGACTTTATTAATCCCATTTTCATATCTTATTTTATAATTGGACAAATTCTTTGCATTGAGCCATATTATGAGAAACCCAACAGAGAATAAATTAACAGATACTGATTTAGAACTCTAGAATCTACCATGAAATATCATATAAATAGCCACTATTTCAATATTAATATTACTGTACATCCATGTAACTTTGTATCACCATAATGTTCCATACTTTGACATTTATTGAATCTTACTAAAAATGTCCCTACCACCTTCAAATTTATGTAGCTTGCATAAAAAGTAGCATGAATTGATTATTGAAAACAAGCAGCTCCTGACATAAATACAAGCCTTGGCTTTAATGCTTATAAACCTTTCACTGATGAAGGCTCTCTAGTGTTCGGAGTTTGTAAAAGATAATTATCTTTTACATATTCCTAAAATAAGTTAAGCTGGTTCTGACTCTAACCCAAATAAGTGCAGCTTTCAAAAACTGCACTATGTAGCAGATTTATAGCTATGATAGCCAAATGTTTCCTTTAAAAAAGGTGAATTGTTTTCCAATAATTATAATTCTAAATGATTACGAAATAGCAAGAGAGTGTTCTTGTTAGGAGGTGGCAATGTCTTGAACTATAACTCCCCCAATCCCTCACCACTGGCGATACTTCTTGTGGCTGCAAGGTCTGAAATCAAATACAGAAGGACTGCTTTTGATCCTCTACACCCCGCAGACAGAGATCTGGGCCATGATTTCAATTTAAAAAAAACCCACAAAGCTTCAGTTGCTATGTTGCTTTGTCTAGCCCCATTTTAGCAGAGCCTCCAGATCATACCTCTTAGAGTTGGGGACATACAGAGATTTCCAGTTGCATAATTGTGAAGATTTCCCCCCTGCCCCCAAATCTGGAAAAAAACTTAAATCTCTCTAGCAAGGAGTTGTCTATCTCTATTGTGGAATAAGGTTCAATATATGAACACATCAGTTAGAAAATATTAAACTGGAGATGAATATACAGTAGTTGATCTGTACAGGACTTTTGCAGGACCTTTATTGTTATGATACTTGATGTTCCAGAAGCCTAATAAAAATATGATTTATAAGTGTATTTCAAAGTTCCCATCCTTAACTTGCAAACAGTTAAAACAGCATCTTTAACAATTGCCTAAATATCCTTTTTAGAAATAAAAAGCCTTCTGTGAGCTCCCTTAGTCATTCATTTATTTTCTAAATTGTTGTAAATAGTGACTGAAGATGATAAATTGACAACTTTGGGACAGGATGATCAGGCAGTTTGACATTAATCCGAGATGTGATTTAACTTATGACCACAATTGAGCCCAAAATTTGTGTTGCTGAACAAAATGGTTGCTAAGTGAATTTTGCCCCATTTTGCAAACTTTAAGTGAATCACTGCCGTTGTTAAATTAGTAATACAGATATTAAATGAATCTGGCTTCCCTATTGACTTTGTCAGCAGTTTGCAAAAGGTGATCACATTAAGGTCACTGCAATTATTATAAATGTAAATCAGTTGCCAAGTGTTTGAATATTAATCACATGACCACAGAGATGCTGCCCTGGTTGTAAGTATGAAAAATGGTCAAAAGTTCACTTTTTCAGTGCCGCTGTAACTTTGAATAGTCACGAAATGAATTGTTGGGAGTCAAGGTCTACATCTCAAAAGCATTCTTTTTATTGTTACAACAAAGCTGGCTCTTTGTATGAAGCGATGAAAATACACAGTATATTACATTAACTCAGAATACTGTTGGTCAGATATATTTTCACATGAACTGAAAAATGTCAGACAGAAATGTATACATCAACAGCCTTCTACACAGCAGTTTTAAAAGCAAATAAATTAGCCTTGACTTCTGGTGACTGGTTGGGCAATCCTTGCAGGACTTTTAGAAGTAATATTCTATTGCCTTCTTCCCAGGTCTGATATACTGTCCCAAAGCCACCCAGCTAACTCTTTGCCCGGGTTCAGGACTGGAATTCATGATCTCTCAGCTTTAGCCTGGGATCTTATGGTAAATTGCCACCATTTTGGATTTGCAATTCTTGTGGATGAAGTGAAAAAGTTAGTATTACCCAGAAGAAAGCAAAACTACAATACAGTATTAGAATAAAGCACACTGGATTTGCTTCCTGTTGAGCGGAAAGGCATCCCTATTATCAAAAGAGAGGAAAATGTCTTTCATCTCTGTAGACTGCCTGAAAACTGCTTCAGATGAATGGGAAACTCTTTGTTATGAGAAGATGCAAGAGAAATTAATTAAACAAGTATTCCTGCTGGTGGGAGCCTTCCAATTCTACTTAAACTTTTCATCTGTCTGTATCTTTTCTATCCTTTGTCAGCTTTAACCTATAACACTTGAACAAAACTAAAAAACACATGCAGTTTTGCACATAATAAGTAGGGCTTGTCATTCCCAAAAGATAAAAACACAAAATACATACAGACTTTTCAAGATTAACCAAGAAAAGAGAATCAATTCTGGATATATTTTAACACATTAAATGCTCAATATGTTTAATTTCTCACCTAAGCTTATACAGGAATGACATATTTATATTACATTTTAGCAAAGTTGGGGTGAAGCCAATAAATATGTTGTCACCTACCTATTAGTTCTTTATTTCGGACATCTAAGGCCATATTTCGTAAAGCTGTTGCAACCGCACATACCACCCGATCATTGTCTATTCGAAGAAGTTCTACTAGTATAGGCAGGCCTTTTTCTTTCCGTACTGCAGCACGGATATATACTGACCACTGCAGGAAAAAAAATATGAAGATGACAAGGCAAATACGTTTCATCAACTGAAGAAGGAGGCTATAACAAAAGTTATTTAGAGATGGAAAATAATAATAAACAGTTATCATTTTATATAAGCGAATAACTGCAAATCTCATTTTGAATTACTGACAGATACAGTTGTTGTTATCCTCATACTGCAGAAGCTTTGTTTGACAGTATAGTTTAGAATTGAACCAGATATGTGATTAGCCATTTCACTTCACAGGTTTGCATAAGGCTATAAGATGGAAAATATTGTATGGGAAAGTAGGTAATTGCAGAAAGTATGTGTGAACTGTGCCATTCCCCCAGATAACATTGATGATTGGATAGATCAGAAACAAATGAATATATATTTTGCTTTCTTGAACTCTATCTACTCAAAACCTTTCCCAGATGGTCCAATCTACTTTATCATGAGCACATTCTGAAAAGCAGTCAGATAATGTTAGGTGAGCATTTATGGTATGTGTCTATACATAAACACCCACAACACTCACACAAATACAGCGTATAATCCAAGCTCCCCAAATTCAGACAGCTAATTCTAATTCTGTCACTGTGTGCAGCTATATGCATCTTGGGTTTATGCTCTTTCCAAAGTTCTGTATAATAAATCACTTTTGAAAGAGAATGCTGCACAATTAAGGTGGGATTAGGACAGGAGCCTAAACTACTTTAGGCTAATATATAAGTTGTATCAAATAACAATCCTGTTTATGTTTTCTTTGTGAAAACTCCATATAGAAAATTCCATAATTATCACTGTGAATCAAGCTATAATCTTATCTATGCCTTCAAGTTATGAACCTTCTTCGATATTTTATTAATCATGCAAGAATTATTGGGGGTACTATCAATAAGGATATGTTTGCAAGCAATTATCCTCTGCTATCTTTCTTGCAAAAGAATTCAGTATGAGATGCTACTATTCATTCTTCTTCCAAAATAGAGAAATAAATTCATCCTTGAATATGTTCACTATTGTTATTAAGCAACAGTCCTGCAAATATATAGTCTACAAGTCAATAATTTTTTTTTATTATTATTATTAATAATAATAATAATTTACTAGATAAATTTTTTAAAAATGACAAAGAAAAACAATTTTTGAGGGGTGACAGTGTATTTTGAAATTGGAGTATACTTAATCATCCAGTTAGTACATAAATCAGACTGACATCATCATTCAAATAATTGCTCACCATGAAAGGGGAAAACGTTCCTCTGAGAACAGTCCATTCTAATTCAAACTGAAGTTCTGCAGTAAACAAAATTTTCTTTGCCGTAGCATTTATTTGCTATGCCAATTAAAGGAGGAAATGTCTGAAATATACTACTATGCTTTAGTTTGTCATTGTTATTATGAAAAATAATTTCCTTGACTTTATTCTTCCATTAGATTAAACTAAATCAATTTAAGAGGCCAACATGGCAAATAAAGGTATGTTTGATGCTTTTGTTTAAATAACAGAGTTTCAGGTAGAAGTAATTCTGAGTGGAGGATCATGAATCTGCATTGATTGCCCAAATCCACCATTCCTTCTGGGGAGAAATGGCAGTAATTTCCCTCCCCCCAGCTTTGTCCAGATTTGAGTAGCCTGGATGGTATGTAGGACAGGCAGACAAACTTGCAACCAAACAGTCAATGCACATATCCAATCCAGGGGTGGGATTCAAATTTTTTAACAACTGGTTCTGTGGGCGTGGCTTAGTTGGTGGGCGTGGTTTGGTGGTCATGTGACTGGGTGGATGTGGCTTGGTGGTCATGTTATTGGCTGGGCATGGCCAACTCAATATCACTCACATCGAGGCACGCATCTCCTCGCCTGGCCTCTCATGGCTGTGGGGATGCTGCAACAGTTGTAAGTGTGAAAAATGGTCATAAGTCACTTTTTTCAGTGCCATTGTAACTTTGAATGGTCACTCTACGCAAGCAAAGTGCCAGCAAAGGAGGGGGAAAAAACTTCAGAGACATTCCTGAGACAGGAAGTCTAGTCTTGCCAGGAATGTAATAAGGGTTAATGGAGAGGCAGTTTCTGTAAGCAACACCAGAATGTTTCCTTCCTGCCTTCCTTACAGGATTAGGCCCATAATTTCTTCTAACAACCGGTTCTCCAAACTGCTTATAATGTTAACAACTGGTTCTAGCAAATAGGTGCGAACTGGTAGAATCCCACCCCTGATCCAATCTGCCTGAGCAGATAGGTAGGAGGGCTCATACTAACAATAAACCAAGCCTTAAAGTAGGGGAGGAAGAAATTTGCCCAGTTTAGCCTGAGAAACTTTCCTCAACTCTATTGTTGCTAGTAAAAACCCTTTGCATTAAGACTGAAGAAAAGAAGAAAGTTGGGATATGTGAAAAAAGCAGATTACCTGGGAGAGAGGTAGAGAAAAAAATCTGGTGAAGGAGAAAAGATTTCTGGATGAAGAGGACAAAATGGAGACTAGAAGTAGCCACATGGTTTTGGTAACTAGTTTCTGGGAGAAGCAGAAAACTAAGCAACCTGTGCAAAAGGGAAGTGTTGTAAGAGTGAAGCTAATTTCTGTGACTGGAGTTGAGGAAGAACACTGAATCAAAAAATCTACAGGGAAAGAGAATCAGGTCTGCTTGAGGATGGATGAGGTGAAGTATTTAATGGATAGAGTATTGAGTACCTATGGTAAAAGCAGTATTTTGGGGCATTAGGTGAGAGAAGCACTGAACTGCAACTCAGAAACCTCTAGGGAATCAACATCTAAGAAAAAAAGCTCCTAAAATTTGGATAGAAACTTGACATCTATGGGAGCAATTTTCAAACTTCTGACAGATATTAAGCTTTGGGATTTAGAATGAATGAGAAATCCAAATTCCATTCTGTATTTTTATAACTTGCAAACTGAAGAAGCTGCAGACTCTCAAACTCATCCAGTTAGTGCCAATGAGCATCATCAAATGTTCGCTCATTGATAAGATTGATCTGGAAGCCCTTTGTACTATCTCTTTGGCCATACCTCCCAGGAAAAAGAAAGAGAATCAAGAGGGGAGCTGAGAATCTGTTCTATTAGCACCAGTTGCCCCCGGTACGATGCATCTGACAACAGGACCTTTTGAGTCAGATTGGGCATTGGCTGTCCCAAGCACAAAGTGCTCCTTGGAGTGCCTGGAGCTACAAGCAACAGCCTACATGTGATATCTTCCAAACATTACAAGCGGAATGGAAGACAGCACCTTCTGACCCTACCTCAATTAATTTTTTTTTGCCTGATTTTTCTTGGGATTTGAAAGAACATATCCATTTTGAAATTCCCATATGGAAACACTAATAGGGTTCAAGTTAGGAAAATCTCAGGGAAAAATTTCCTTTCTGAGATAGCTAAATATTGTAAGTGAGATACCCGTTCCTTGCATTAAGCTATTTAGTCTGCTTCATGAATTTTGATATTTTGAATGTGTCTGCTAATGGTTTCCAGTGATTTTTAAAATAGAGGTTTATTGCCCTGCTGTGACTCCATTCTTACATGTTTTGTTCTATCTGAGAACCTCAGATCCAACCCATTTGGTCCATGCCCAGTCTCTCCAAGAACAGTCTAGTGCCTTATGCTACCCAATTGGTACTTCAGAATAAAAAAATATATTTAACTTTACTATTTAACTTAAAATTAATGTTTCAATCATAAAAGCTTTATTTGGATCACATCAAAAGGAGAGATGGCTGCTGTTCTCTGGCACATACCTCATATTACTATAGCCAGGAGCTGAGATAGTTTTCCTTTTTATAAGTATTATTATACATACAGGTTACAGGCACGTAAGTGCTCAGTCTGTGAGATTCTCATCTCTCACACAATTGATGTGAAGGAGAAGAAGTCTGGCCCAGGCATTTGCTTCTTCCAGCAAAGTGGGAAGTGGCACAAGGAAAGTATTACATAACCTATCACCATTATACACCAAGAATGGCAGAGTGACAAGGGCATGTTCGGAAGGGTAATGATCCCTTTCAGCACCATTTCACCCTTGCCAGAGATTGAATTACATCATCTAGTAATCTTAGTCAACACAGCTGACATGAGGGAAACTGGAGGGGGTTTCTTACTCTTTCCCCCCCAAAAGCAACATGAGAGTAGCCACGGGGCTGTCTGTACTCTCTAATTAACACATTGTTAAGAGTATCTGGTTCTCCCAGACCACTTACTTGCTAGGAAACTAACCAGCTTAACTAACTAGAGAATGAGGTATTTTACACAAAGATCATATAAGCATGTACTTTCTTGAGGGAGAGAAATGGACACATGCAATGTTGCATTTTCCTTCCATCACTGAGCCTAAATATTTTCAGATGCACATTCATATCTGAAAGAACTTGCACTCTTTGCTAATGATACTGTTACTGTATATCATAAACTTTTCCTGGCTGTCCCTGGCAGGTATTTAATGTAAAAAAAATGTTCTGGTTAACATGAAGGAAGCTTTATTTGCAATTGGACTGCTGTAAATAAATATTTTCTACATCATAAAAAGCCCCCTTATTGGCAAGTGGCAGATTAAATTTTCATTGCTTTAGCAAAGTCCATGTAAGTCTACATATATAATTAGGGATTTTTCTCCCTTCAGGACAGAGCATCCTCCAGGGTCAAACACATTTTAGGCAAATTGACATTACAGAATGAAAAAGCTTAAGGTAACACTGCTAATTCTGTATGAATTTTCTGGGAAAGCAGATTATTTCATTCACTGCTCAGTTGTACTAATTTTGCTTGTCAAGCTCCCATTTCAAGGAAAGATTGTTTGGTCAGACATGCTTACCTTGGAGATGACAAGCCATGCATCTTATTGATATAAAGGCTATTTTTTAGCAAGCTGTAGCAGGATAAATCATGTCTTCTATTGCCTGGTCCATATAGATTAGTATATTGAACTAACAGCATAGCATAAATAAAACATGCTGGCATAATATAGAAACAAATATATTAAATCACATCACAGTTCCACTACCTGAACCCATACATCTTGAAGTGAAACTAATTAAGTTTTAAGGAAGGATTTCCTGCTTCACATTTAGTCAACAGAGCTGCTTAAGGTTGTTTCTCAACCTCAGATAAGGAACCTAACTCAATTTTCTCATTTGTTCTTGGTAATTTCCTAAAGCTGTCAGCAAGGATGTTAATTGGTGCTAAATATAATTGGATATCTTCACAATGTTTTCACTCAAACAAACAGAGTTAAAGGAGGGAATTTGGCTCCTGTATTTTCTAATATGAATCATTAACAATATAGAGTTTAGATTCAATACGTTTGCAGTTTTAGGAATAGAATTCCTTATTGATATTACAGTAGAAAAAGCAATTGTGTTCCAATTAGTATTTATTTATTCAATTTAAGACATCAGTGCTGATTTAAGAGTCTGGCCAAGTGCAGAGTGAAGGCAGATTTCATACCTTCCAGCTACCTGCAGCCAAATTCTGTAGTGCACCAGCTGCCCCTTCCAGTGTATCTGGATTTGAGCACTCAGAGAGAAGTGTGAGGTAGGGTTTGACTATGGATGGGTGCCATAGCATCTGGATTCCTTTTGGTGGTTCTGCACAGTCAGGGAGAGGACCAACTCCATCCCACTGAAAAGAAGAAACAAAGATGAAGGTTATCAGGACAGCAAAAGAGAAACACTTTCATTTAAATATAAAGATGTACTTCTATGCTTATAAATTGAATACGTACTCAAGGACACCTAATGCAAAGAAATGTTTGTTTTGACCATTAAATAACTTCTTACCTGTTATTTTATTTACAATGGCTGAAAGTTTTCAAGTTTAGGAGCAATTTAATTCAACTTTTTGGAAATTAATGCCAAATGAGATTGATGCCATCCAAACTCATATCTAAATTAAAACTAAAACTGCAGCAGAATTGAGATCTATCTGTCTGTCTGTCTGTTTATCTGTCTGCTAGTTTTCTATTAGTAGTTCCCAAAGCAATGTACAATTATAAAAAAATAAGCATAATGGGGTATGTCCAATGTTTAATTCATGTAAGGGATCTTCCCTTTTCCCTGAAATGAGAATGAAGGATCTATGTGAGCAGGTGTTCATATCTCTCCCCAAATCTGTTTTAGAGGATTGGCTGATCTCATTTGGTCACCAGAAAGATATAACTGGATCAACAATAAAAGGTAAAACACAATAAAACAATTTAAAAGATATATCTCAAATACATACAAGTAGGAGCAAAAGAATATTAGATAGCAACCAGTAAAATCTGTTTCCACAGACTTCAGTTCAGTCAGGCATTTGCTTTTCTATTCTTTACCGCTACTTTGGGAATTTTCCTCTGTAAGTAGGCTACTCTTGATCATCTCTTCCTTTCTTCCTCATCTCATGATGACCCAAATATTCCTCACTAGCTCATGTTGTTTTCTCCAGATTCATTTTTTTCCACCAAATTTCAAATTCTTACAGCAATACACACATACATCACTTCACCACCCAGCTTCTGTTGGTACTTCTTTTATCCCTTAGCTGGATGGTGAGATGCAGCAAAATGACATTTCTTGCAGCTCGAAGAAAGCTTCTTAATTATAGAAGGGCAAAAAAGGGCAGAAGGATTTGTTCATTCCAGAACCACAGGGTCAGCTTCCGAAAAGAAAAAGGGAAGAAAAAGATGGTTTCTTTGCCTTCTTTCCTATTGTCCATGGAAAGGAAGAGTCCTTTCTTCCACACACATAATGTAAGGAAATCAACTTCAGTTATAATCAGAGATTAATTACTCATCTCATATGACAAAAATCAAGGTGATAAAGAAAAGGAAACAGAACTAATACTCAAGCAAGTGTTAAACTGGATGCCTCCAGACTGTGCAGAATACACACCCACCCACATGCACACAACATACACAGTCAACAGTGTATCATATGTTTTCAAGCAACAATTGTGATAGAAGAAAATTTAACAACCCATCTGGAGGTATCTAGTCATAAACCAACAAGTACAGAATAAGTACTCAATTTATCAGATGTATAAAACTATTTGGATGAAAATAGTTATTAGGATTGGGCTCCAGATTGCATAGAATAGGCATCTCAATAAGCATATGTGACTAATTTAAATTCCTCCTTTAAGATGTAAGTTAGTCATGCATTGGAAGATTGTAATATCTCCCTTCTGGGAGTGTGGAAGGCTAGGGAATGAATTCGGTGAGCAAATAGTCTCTCCTGTGAAAGAGGTTGAATAAATAACTAGCTGGTATGAGCTGCTTCCAAGGTAAGCCACCATCATTAAAAAGAAAATTCCAATCTTTCTGGAAATCAGTATCAAAATACCACATTCTAATTTCATCTTAATACTCTTCAGGTAGAATGAAGCCAAATATTAGGCTGATCCTGTCTACTTGCAATCCTATTCTATGATGATGAAAACCTTTCTTGTAGAATCAGGGAAGCTGAAGATCCATAATTGGAAATCTAATGAGTATAATTCCAATTCTTAATACAAAATGGAGTTAGAAGTATCTCAATAAGAGAAATTATACTAGATATTTTAGAGATTTAAGCTCCTGCAGGGAACTCACAATGGCAAAGTCCTTCAGATATTGCATTCTGCATCTTTTATCATTAGCTAGCTTGATTAGGAATTGTAATCTAACATTTTTAGAGCCACATTCTCTTCAGTGCTGCTACATAAAGTTGACTTTTGGAATGCTACCACTGGAGTTACCATAAGCAAGGCATGATGAACATTCTAAGCTATTAATTAATTATGATAAGAAGATGATCTTGCTAATAAATTTTATGTTTCAGACTAAATAGAGTGATCATAAGGGAATGAATCTTTTATAAAATAAATGAAAAAATCAGTAACAGGACAAATGTTAAATATACAATTGTATATTACAATAATTCCTGATGGATTTGTGTTGCATGCTTTGATGCTAATAATCTAATCAAAGTCTTCATGCTATGCATAACTTTGTCTATGTAATCTCTATCAATGTGTAGAAAGAAAAAGGGGAAGACCACAATTTAGGTAAATTAGGTATACTTCATATATGAAAAACAAGAGAACAATCCATTCTAGTATGCAAAAATCTATAAATGCTGCTTTCTATGTGTGGGAGATGGACCAATAATGAAAAATGTTTGCAGTATGGAATCATATTGTTGGCCAAGACATTGCATTCCCCTGTGTTTTTCACATACAGAAATTTTAAGTATTTTCTGTAATCATAGGAGAAAAGGAGATTTCCATGTATTTAATTTAATTTAGACATTGTCTAACTCCATCTGACTCTGGGAAGTTCCCAAGTAATAACTTAAAAACCAATACAAATTATCTAGTAGAAGTAGATGAACTATCTAATAGACTTGCATACTGAACATTTTGTAAAATTTGGAAGAAAATTCTCATTCTAGATTAAATTAAAACTATTTCAAGTTTCAAATTAAATCAAGTATTATAATAACTTGTCTTCAAGTCACCTTAACCGCACCTTAGCTATTGCATAAGGCAATGTCAATGGAAAGGCTTACCACAATACAGAGGTGGAATTCTACCAGTTCGGACCGGTTCTATAGAACCGGTTGTTATGATTCTGCCCACTTCGGAGAACTGGCAAATTGTGCCCCTGGCTGGCCCCGCCCCTCTCCACCCACCTCTCCCCGCCCAGTCAGTCCTTATCACGCATGCGTGACATCACGCGCATCACTGACTGCATTCTCCCCCGCCCTCCCCATCCTGCCCAGTCACTCCTTACAGTATTTCTTTTTTTTCTTCCTCCCGATGATCAGCTATTCCGACAATCAGCTGTGCCCGGATCCCCCTTACTGTCTTACTGCTTCATCCAGGAGGCTTCCCTGAGGCCCAGGAGCTGCCCCTGCATTCAATTTTTGACCTCCTGGGCCTCAGGTAAGCCTTCTTGGACCAAAAACAGCCTCCCAGGAGACTTCTCTGAGGCCCAGGAGGCAAAAAAAAAAAAAAAAAGGAGTACAGGGGAGTGCTGTGCAGTCGCTCTGTGCTCCATTTTTTGCCTTCCTGGGTCTCAGGGAAGCTTCCTGGGAGCAAAAATGTCCCCCCAGGAGGCTACCATGAGGCCCAAAAAGCCAAAAAAACAGAGCACGGGGGGGGGGGTGCTGCAAAAAGAAGCCACACCCACCCAGTCACATGGCCATGCCCACCTAGCCACGGCAACAGAGCCAGTAGTAAAACTATTTGCATCCCACCACTGCCAGGATAGCTAGTCAAAAGTGGTCATCTGTCAAAAGTGATCAGTGGAGCCTAACTGAACTAATAAAAGCACCATGGAGAAAAGATTATTTTCCTTATTTGTTTATTTTAAAAGGTTGTGCTAAAGAGATAAATGTTTGTTTAAATTTTCTCTGCTTCAGTTTCAATTTAATGCAGTGGTATTTTCTATTTGCTCAGCACAGACTATTTCAGGGAATCTGGCTTTTTTTTCAACAGCACAGAACTATACATCCTTCTTAAGTGTGATATATTGTGTCTAATTGATTGCTCACATGGAGAACTTTCAACCCCTCACAGAAAATTGAGGTACAGGGAAAGCTAAGTCAATGATCTGCCAGATACTGCTGAATACAACTCTGAGCAAAGAAGCCAGAATGGCTAAAAATAAGAGTGCTGTGAGCTACAAAAACTAGAGAGAAAAACGTTTCCAAAGCTTGCTGCATATTGTTCATAAGGAGGGAGTCTGAGTTTCTGTGGGGTGTTGAAGAAAATGTTGATTTAAAATAACTAACTGAATCTTTAGCAGAGGCTTACAAAGTAGAAAAGCATCAAAAAGATCTTGTTAATACATTATTCTTGTGATCGTTATTATCTGAAACCTAGCAATAAATTCAACGTTTCACTTTATTACTTCAGTCAAAATGCCAAAACTATTAGGAGTATAGAATTAATACAATTGCTAAAATATTAATACTAAGCAGTAAACGCACTATGGATTCTACAGGCCCTGTAACAATATTTAGACACATTTAAAAATTCATTTTTATATGACAGTAGATACTGAAGATAGTACAAATTCTGAGTGCTTTGATAATTTAATTATTAGCTGGAATATAGATTATGGAGAAATGTCCTTATAGAAAATAACATAAGAAAAAACGAACAATTCTCTACAAATAATATCACATAGACAAAGATGATTTGATATGTGACAATTCTATATCTGCTTCCAATACTACTGTTGATAATACATTAAAACATGCTAATGTCATTATTATCTTGCAGTTTAATATTTAAATATTGACTTAAATATCTAGCTGCAGGAACTAATAAACTGATTGCCAAGTTAGATCCTTTTTGGCAGTTGGAGTCTTTCATTCTATTGTTCATGCATTCAATTTTTACCCATTACAATTGATAATTTCATAAGGCTGATGAAAATCCATAATAGAATTATGCAGTCCAAGTAAACAATGGCAAGATTAATTCAATTAAAATAAAATATATATAAACTACTAATGGTAAGCAATAAAAATGGCGAGATTAAGAATCAAAAGCTCCTAATTTTTTCCCTATTTGAATAATTTTTGAACTGGATTATATTGGCCAGGGTATTCTAAATGCTGCCATAATACTTTGGTTCAGCTTTTGTATAACAT